GAAATTGACCAGAACTGTCACGAGGTGGGGTCCACTTGAACATGTCTGAGTCAGGCATCTTGGGTACAGGACAGATGTTTGTTAAATAGGTTCTTTAGCATATTCTATTATATAGATTATTTATTATTTCCCAGATGACCTTGTCTTGTACAAATAGAAAAAAGTTGAATCCAGAATGCTTAGCCATTTTGGTTAGTTAGATAGGGCAGTTTTGACAAAGTTAAAGTGATACAGTGTAACCTTTTTAGGTGGGGTCCCTAAACCTAAATAAACTGACTACATTACTAGTGTAGGTAGTTACAGTCTGACTATTCTTGCCCTATTTATGTCATCCTTTATTTGTCTTCTGATCATGTTCATGGAACGTCCATAGACAAATAGCACCTTGGGATCCCGGCCACCTCTTGGCACTTAAGCACACCACACATTTACTGAGAAACCAGAATATCCATTGAGAAAATGAGCAAAAGCCACACAATGTGGTTTTTCTCAGAAAGTCAGGTGCCCCAGGAGAATGTTTATAGGACTGTAAGGAGTAAGAACGGTGCTTATTAAAGCTGTGTGGTATATAAAGCCCACTCACTATCTGCTGAAGAACAGAGGCAAGAAAGGAGATTCTTGACTCTCTCTTAATTGGGTCCATGACAACTGTCACTTCTTACTAAGTTTCAGTGGTTCAGTCTTGCCCTTGGACTGCGTGTAGAGTCTAAGACCCTGCAGTCCGTGCATCTTCTGCTGTTTCTTGGGGCATCTGTGATGGGCGGGTGGTCAGAGAGGACTTCCTCAGGGAAGGGCCTGTGGCCTCCGGAGCGCACGGTGGCGACTTGCTGGCCCACTCAGGTGGGGGCGGGGCTGTGCAAGGAGGGTGCAGGTGAGGGCTTCCACCCTGCCCGGTCCCTATGGAACCTGCCCCAAGAAGAGTTCTGCTAAGCTTTCAAATCCTAAGTGCTCAGAACAAAGTTTCAGCAACAGCAAGAGCAAATGAAGAAGCTGACCTTCAGCCGTGCCCCGTGTTAAGACTACCGCCACTCTGTGTAAGTGGTAAATGCAGAAGCATTTAGACTGCTCAGTGGCAAATGCTTTACCTCGAACTGATTTTAAGTATTTTCTGCTTTGTCAGCCGATAACTCAGTTTTGCTTTAAGTGGCTGCTTAAAAAGCTATCTGGAGCGGGGGTGGGAGCAGGACTTGAGGCAAAGAAGGAATTCCAAAATACCACGACTGTGGTGCTACTGATGATGGCATGCCTCGGAGAGAGTGCAGGTCCGGTTACGAATTTTATGGTCTCCCAATACATATTAAACTTTTGTGTACACCACACCACAGTCTTTGAAGTGCGCGATAGTGTTATGTCTAAATAAGCAGAGTACGTACCTTAACTTAAAATATTGCTAGGGGCGCCTGGGTGGCTCAGTCGTTGAGCATCTGCCTTCGGCTCGGGTCATGATCCCAGGGTCCTGGGATTGAGCCTGGCATCGGGCTCCCTGCTCAGTGGGAGCCTGCTTCTCCCTCTCCCACTCCCCCTACTTGTGTTCCCTCTCTCGCTGTCTCTCTCTCTGTCAAATAAATAACTAGAATCTTAATAAAAAAAATATTGCTAAATGGGGGCACCTGGCTGGCTCCGTTGGTAGAGCATGCGGCTTTTGATCTCAGGGTCATGAGTTTGAGCCCCACGTGGGGCATAGAGATTACTTAAAAAAATAGAAAATTAAAAAATTAAAATATTGCTAAAAATGCTAACCACCATCTGAGCTTTCAGCGAATCATCCTTTTGCTGGAGGAGGATCTTGCCTCGAGGTTGGTGGCTGCTGAAGGTGGGGGTGGCTGTGGCAATTTCTTAAAATAAGACAACAGTGAAGTTTGCCACACTGGTCGACTCTCCCTCCCATGAACAATTTCTCTGTGAGATGCGATGCTCTTTGATAGCGTGTGACCCACAGTAGAACTTCTTTCACTGTTGGACTGAATCCTCTCAAACCCTGGTGCTGCTTTATCAGTTCAGTATGTGGAATATTCTAAATCCTTTGTTGTCCTTTCAACAATCTTCACGGCTTCTTCGCCAGGAGTAGTTTCCATCTCAAGAAACCACTTTCTTTGCTCATCCGTAAAAAGCAACTCCTCATCCGTTCAGGTGTTCTCACGGGACGGCAGCAGTTCAGTCCCATCTTCAGGCTCCACTTCTAATTCTGGTTCTCTTGCTGTTTCCGCCCCATCTGCAGGGACTTCTTCCACGGAAGTCCTGAACGTTCCGTTTGTAAAAACGGTCGGATCTGAGAAGCGCAGTAAAGTGAGGTATGCCTGTAATGATGATGATGATGATGGTGATCATGGATGTTTACTATTTACTGACCATCCAGGCTCGCGGAATAGCAGCCTCCACCCGGGTGTTGGGAATGGTCCCCTTTCAGCCAGTTCCTGGCAGCTCTTCACCCTCCCGCCCCACCCCAGGCCTTCACCTGCTGTTGCCCAGAACCAGCGGCCCCACGGGCCCCGTTCCCACCATCCTCACTCCACTGTCAGCTGAAAAGTGGGCTGCGCTGTAGAAATCCTTTGAAACCACAAAGGACACCTGAGCACATGGAAAAAAAAAAGCTACCCTCACTAGTAATCATTGAAATGCAAACTGAAACCAATCAGGAGTTATTTCCACTTATCTAATAAGGAAACAATTTAATTGTAACAACCAGAGATGGGAAAGGATCAGCAAGATTGGCTGTCCTCTGCATCTGGGGGGGAGAGTAAATTGCAACTGTGGGCCTAAGGGCACATTTGACAATAGAGACAACATGACGCCCCCGATCTACTAATTCCTTTTCTAAGGATTTATTCTGTATAATCTGCGACCTGCTTAGTGTTTGCGAACAATAGTGTTTCTCAGAGAGTGTTGGAATGTCCTCTACAGAGGCCTAACAGTGATTAAAGGAATCCTGTCCCTATGATACAATACTAACAACCATCCTTTAAAATTATGCACTTGAGGAATTTTGCATTACATCGGAAGACGTGACACGGAGTGGCTACCCGAATGGGCTTTATTTAGGGTCACACTGTGTTTGAAGCGGTCCCTACTCCTTGCAAGCTGTGTAACTTGGGAGAGATGTTGAACCTCTCTGTGCCTCAGTTTCCTTATCTGCAAAAGGGAGAGAGAGCAGTGGATATTGGGCATCCTTCCCACAGTGCCTGAGACAGCATACATGCCCAAGTGCACGTTAGTGTTAAGTTCCTTATCTTCTGTGCCTCCGTTTCCCCCTCGGTCCAATGGGAATGACAGCAGTTCCTGTCTCGGGAGCGCAGGTGCATTAACGGACAGAAGGCCCGTGGCGTGGGCCGAGCACGTAGTAACGGCCACGTACGTAGCAGCTGCTGGCTGCACTATGCGTGCAGGAGAATGTCCACATAAACCAGATCCCTGGCGGAGACCACAGCTCTTCGAAAGTCCGCATCCTCACCTACACCAGGCCTAGAGCATATGTATCAAAATAACTGTCACTGGGTGAGAAAGATGACAAGCAGGTTTTGTCTTTTGTACTTTCCTCTATTTTTCCAGATTTTGGACAACAAATGCATATTGCTTTTATAATTTCAAAACCCAGTAGCGGTTTTGGAGTTGGAACACTGTCTGTTAATGAGAGCAGTTGAGCGTGCCATGATGTCTTTGGGTTGATGGCTTCTCCGTGCTATGGAGAAACTAGCCCCCTAGCCTCCAGTCGCTTGTAGCAGCCTCTGACTTTCTGCGCAGGGCAACAGTGCTGTGCAGATTTCTTCTTCAGCTGCGTTAGAACAGTGACTCCAAACCCCGGGTGCGTGCTAGGATCATTTGAGGGGATGGCAAAATATACTGGTGTCGTGCTGCTGGCTAGACGGGGGGGCTCTCAAGGAAATTCTGACATGCGGCCAGGTGATGGACGGCAAGCTGGGAGCAGGCTGGCACTTGGTACTTCCATTTCCTGCCTGCCCTGGGGGTCCTGGCACACGACAGAGCCCTTCTTCTCCTGGTGAGTTTCCAGGTCAGCCCGAGCAGTGTTTCCTACATCACCTAAGATGAGACTCCCCTGGAGTGCTCGCTACAAATGTGGGCACCTGGACCCTGACCCAGACCTCCCGAATCTGAACTTTTACCGGAGAGACTTGGTAACGTGTGTATTTAACGAGCCCACTGGGGGCTTCTTGTCATCAGGGAAGTGCGGGAACTCTGTTGAAGCCCTGGTTCTGTCTCATTCGCACACTGGGAATATCTGGGTACCTGGAGAAACCCCACTGCCGGCTCCGCCTCCCGCCTCTCTGACTCTGACGTGATGGAGCAGGGATATGTCTGGGCCTCGGGACTTGGGAAGCCCCTCTGGATTCTAACATGAAGTCCTGGTTCACAGTGACTGGCCGTGATGGTTCTCAGAGTGGGGTGCCTGGGACCCCATCGCTTGGCGACATGTTAGAAATACACTTTTGTGGGGTCCCACCTGAAACTGCTGAATTAGAAACTGGGGATGGGACCCGGCCGTCTGTGCCTGAGCAACCCTTTCTCATGCTTCCTGCCCACGCTGAAGTTAAGAACCATGGCCCTGGGGTGGAGTTCTGAGAAGCAGGTTCCCAGATGAACTCCCGGGAGAGCTCAGTTGTCAGGACTCAGCAGGGAGTGGACTCCTAGTGGCCCATGACAACACTTTGAGAAATGCTGCTCTCGAGTTGACCCTTGTTCCCTCGGGCCCTTCGAAGTTCTAAGAGCCTTGACATCTCTCAAGTACCACCAACATCCTCATGTTCTTGTGGGCAGCTTCTTGCTGCCACTCCTAGGCCCTTGGGGGCAAAACTCGTGGCTGCCTTCCAACCATAATTAGTGGGACATGTTCTCTTTAAAGTCTGTAAGTACTCTGGTTAGGAAGATATTTTGCAGAAGTACTGACCCGAGTTTGACTCGGAACGCCGTCACAGAAGCAGAGAAGGACGTGTTTCTTCTATGTGGTTCTTGCCCCGGTATAACCTCTGTGCCTCTTTGTTTTGTAGGTTTTATCATCAGCCCGTGCTAAGGTGGTCCTCTCAACCGCAGACTGCTCACGACCACGCCTACTGGAGAAGAAGAGGGCAGGAGGTCAGTGGCCTGCTGGGGCCAAGGGACCGAGAAGATCTGGAGGTCAGAGGCATGGCCCAAGCACAAGGTCTGCCCATCCACGCAAGGGAGGGTCCATGGGAAGTTGGAGGAAGGACAGAGAATGTGATGAAGAAGGCAGTTTGGGAAGAAGAGCTGAGAATGGCGGGACCTGCCAAGTGGCAGAATATAAGCCTCGAGAGCTGGAACCAGCCAAGGAAATTAGGGAGGCAGATGTCTGATGGTGATGGGGAGAAATTATTTCAAGATCTGTACCCATTCATGCAAGGAGAGCAGGCATTGAATTCCCAAAGCAAAGGGAAATCCCAGTCCCTGCCAAGGGTTCTTTCCTCCGAGAGCCTGAGTTGCATGGACATCCCCATTCCATTAAATGATGGACATTTTCCAGGTGTTCCTAAAATCCCATTTTATCCCCCAAATTGTGCACCAAATTTGGAATCCACAAGGAACCCTGAGAAGAGCGGCTCCTCGGTCCCTTTACCCCGGCCCAAGTTTGGGCGACCCCTCAAGCCCCCGTCCTACGACTCTCACCAGCACTCCAGGGTGGGAGTGGAGAACAGCGACTCTCCAGTCAGCCAGCAGGTAGACCTGTGTGTCTCCTACTTGAGCAGAACTCACGAGCCCAGGCTGGAGCTGTGTGCATCTGACTCCGGTTTAGAGCCTCCGGTGTACGTGCCTCCGCCATCGTACCGGTCACCGCCCCAGCACATCTCCAACCCCTACGTGGAGGATGCAGCGCCCAGGCCTGAGTGCGGCGGTCCCCGTCAGCAGCAGCATCCAGTGGAGCTGCCGGGCCCGGGTTGTCCGCTTCCTCCCGGCCCCCCGGGACCCGAGAATGAGTATGGTGTGAGCCCATACTCTCCTCGCGGGGTCCCCCTGCAGCCCCGGCCTACCACCGCTTATGACAGCTCTGTTCTGTATATTCCCTTTGACGACCCACGGATCCGACATTTTAAACTGGCCCACCTGCAGGGCTTCTGTCAGGAAGCAACGGCTGATGGGCAGCCCTACAACCCCAGCCCCGGCGCCACCCCGGCACCTGAGCATGGACACAGTCAACACGATGGCACCGTCTCGAGCCCGCAGAGTGAGGTGACCCCGCCAGGCAGTGTGAGTGGCTCCTCCACCGCTGATCCCAGTCCCCGGTGGCTGTGGGGCCCGCGCCCCAGGGATGCAGAGAGCAGCGGCTTCCCTGAGCAACGAGACCATGGGGCCATGAGAGGACAGTGGCCTGGCACGGGGGGCGGCCAGCAGGGACACACAGAAGGCCCAGCCTCCTCCCCCAGCCCGCAGGGCGAGAGTACCTGGGAAACTCGAACCAAGCTCAAGAAATTTGAAACTGGGATTCTGACCAAGAAAAGTTCAAAGAAAAAAATGAACGAGACGATATTTTGTTTGGTTTCCATCCCAGTTAAATCCGAATCACATCTGCCAGATATAGATAGGAACAACAATGACTTAAAACAGAGCACTGGTAAAAAGAATGGGCTTGATAAGAGCCCGGCTTTGCAAGAACAAAGTCTGCTGAGCACGTCTTCCACCGACCTGGAGCTGCAAGCTCTCACAGGAAGCATGGTTGGGAGAACAGAGTTCCAGAAACAAGATCTGGGGGAACCAGAAGAAGGCAAACAAACAAATGACCTCAGATTCATTCACCCTACAAAACACAGAGAGCTCAAGTATTCTGGCTCGTGGCCAGGACACCAGTACAGAGATCAGCAAACACAAACCACTTTCACCGAGGACTCCAAAAGCCCACGGCCCCTCGCTGCTGAGAAGCTGGGAGGGTCCCCAAAAGCCGTACTGACTCCCAGACTTTCAGACCCCCTGGCCTCTGAAGCTCACGCGCCCACGGCGTTAGCTTCCAGTGACCAGAACCAGAGGCCAAAGGCGCCTCCCCTCGCAGGTCAAATGTCCCTCAGCCCCTCCAGCAACAGCGCTTTCTCAAGGACTACGTCCTGCATACACCAGGCACCCGCTCCGAAAGCAGGGCCCGGTCGGGCCGGCGCGGATGGCCGTGGCCGTGGGGCCAGCCCCGTGTCCCGGGGCGAGGTTGTGAAGGGGGAGACCACCGGCCCCTGCAACAGTAAGCAGCTGTTCGGGCAGTTTCTCCTGAAGCCCGTTAGCCGGCGCCCCTGGGACTTGATCAGCCAGCTAGAAAGTTTTAACAAGGAGCTTCAGGAGGAGGAGGAAAGCGGTCAGAGTGGCAGCGACAGTCGCAGTGAGGACAGTGACACAGAGTGGCCATGCGAAGGCAAGAACTGGGGCTTCGGTGAAGCCAGCCGGGCCTGGAGAGCTGAGGAACCCCGAAGGAGGCCGGCGCTGGAGGAGCCCGGGGCCCGGCCGGGAAGAGTGAAGAGCAAGTCTGAGAGCTGGAGCGAGGAGCAGAAGCCCGGGGGGCCCCGTGTCCTGCCTCAGTCCCCGGGCCCCACGACGGTGGGGCCGGGTGGTGGCAGGGGTGCAGCCTCGCTGTGGGCACACGGAAGCCTGGTCGCAGAGGAGGGGCACCAGGAGGCGGAGCACAGAATGAACAAGCTAGCCGTCAGCCCGGGTCCGCTGCACAGAGTGACGTCTTCTAGGTCAAGTGACACAAAACCAGCGCCCTCGTCCGATCCAGCTGAGCCGAGGCAGCCCCAGGGAAGTCAGGAGCTGCCCGGTGTTTCCATTTCTGGGGAGCTGAGCACAGCACCCCCTCGGCAGGCTGGGCCTGGAGGGGAGAGGAGCCCGCTGCTCCCACTCTCTCTTGGCAGCAAACCCCGAGGACTCTCCGCACCGGACTTGAGGTCTGTGGGGCTGCCGCCCGCACAGAAGCCGAGTACCGATAAGTTAGATGGGTCTTTAGGAGAAGCGAGTGCAATAGAGATCCCCCCGAATGAGTCCCTTCAAGCGAGGGCTGCGAGGATCCTGGGCATTGAGGTGGCCGTGGAGTCCCTGCTGCCGGGCGCCAGGAGAACGGGACAGAACCAGCATCCCGGGCCTGATGGAAGTGCCCGCGGGCCGGAGGCCCCCAGGGAGGAGTCTGTGTCCAGCTCAGCCCAGCCGGATGACCCCTCGGTGTCCATGGACGCCTTTTATGGCAGGAGAAAGTGCGGCTGGACCGAAAGCCCTCTCTTTGTCGGGGAGAGGGAGAGTGCCCGTCGGGCTCCCCAGGCTGCTGAGCACTCAAGTGTGGACAGGACTGTCCCCAGCAAGGCCCCAAGCCCCGAGCCTCAGCCCAGTCCCGAGCCTCAGCCCAGCCCCCAGGAGTCCCAGGCCTTCAATCACAAGGACCTGGGGACAAAACCGCCCTTCAGGTCCACTCTGTTCCATTTTATAGAGAGGACCCCAAGTGTGTCAGGCTCAGAAAAGAGGCTCAGAAGCACTTCCAAAGTGATCGAAAGTTTACAAGAGAAACTGGCCTCCCCCCCGAGGAGAGCAGACCCTGACCGCTTGATGAGGATGAAAGAGGTGAGTTCTGTGTCTCGGATGAGGCTCCTGAGCTCCCGGAGCACTGACTCCATGGAGGAGGCTGAGGAACTGAAGGCTGAGAGGGGCCCCGGGGTGCCACCTGGAGGCCCAGTGTCTCTGAATGCTGGGGAGCTGTCGCAGAAGGCCGGGAACCCCCCCTCTGTCTCCAGGGGTGCCCCCTCACTGGAAGAAGACGGGCCTCCGTCGGCACAGAGGGACAAGAAGAACGTCCAGCAGGATTTCTGGTGCCCAGGTGAGGAGTCGGGCGAGCAGGCGGGCGTTCTCAGAGTAGAGAAAACACCAGGTTGGTGGATGATGAAAATCCTGCATTGGTGAAGTTGAGATTATGAATTATTGTTCCAAAAGGTTCTTCCTTTTACAAAGAATTATCCAGAGGCTTTGCTTAAAAATCAAGATCCTGTGGTGTATTGTGAAGGATTATATCTTTATGGAAATTACCTATGCAAACAATTATATACAGTTATATATATAAACAAGGGTTGGGTCCCTTACCATGAAGAGGTAAATCAGTAAAGTATTCCAGCTTTGGCGCAACACCTTGATGAGCCTTGCGGGAGGCCATAACGTGGGTAGTCTGCTCTCTCTCCCAAAACAAGCGTTCATCCAGACCACCCGCACGCTCTTTATTAACTCTGATAAGAAGAACGTACCCAGATAATGCTATAAACTGCCCAGCCCATGATGTTGTGTCTCACACTGCACCTTCCAAAATGCTTTGTCCCCCATTTTGTCTGTTTTTGCTACCACACCTTTTATGAAACTTGAAAAAGGTTTAGGAGATAAAAGGAACAGTTTGTACTTTCTCAACACCCTACCCCTTTATAAAAGGTTCACCCATCAGCTCTGTCCCAGAAGGCCCCCTGAGGCCTGAGTGCTAAAGCCCAGGACGGAGGGTTTTGGCAGCAGGGCCGCGCAGGCCCGCGGGCCTCTCCCTTCGGTCACCCTAATGCCTTCAGAGCTGCTCCAGGTCAAACCACGAGGCGGGTTCCTGGTGGCAGCAACAGGGATTTCTCACCTCTCAGCTCTGTCACAAACAGGCAACTCTGTTTCCAGCATTTTCTTCAGGGGCTGGGGAATTAGCAGTGATACATTCTAGAACTAATGAGGAAGAAGAGTGGAGGGACATGTCAAAAGGCCTGATCGTAAACCGCAGACAGGCAGGGACCTTGAATCGTTCATTCGGACCTTGTTACAGTAAGGGGAAACTGCGCCCTCGTGTGTGTGACCTCGCTGACCAGGGGCCCCGGGCCCCCCTCCTGAGCCACGCCCTCTGGTCTTACTGTAGGGCGGTGCCCTTACCCCCACCTTCTCTGTTTCCTACTTGGAAATCCAAGGATTTAAAAGTCAATGGCCAAGATTCCTTATTTCAGCTAGAAAAGTCCAGAATTCTTGTTCCACAAAACATCCCCATGGCAGTTTTTACATTTTCCCACAAATGCACTATGATTCTTGGGAGTGTTAGCCAAGTGTTGCTCAGTTGCTTATACAAAATACATGATTGAAATAACCCATTGGTCAGGGCCCTCTTGGATCATCTGACTTGACAGATTTGGTCTTTGCCAAGAAAGAGAACACTAAGATGTGCAACTCTTGCCATAATGGTGGAAAAAAGTGTTACATGGCCCATTTTTTGAGCTATTGGGACTTATTAGGCTTCAGCCTAATTCCTCTCCTGGTCCCTCCCTCTCCCTACCCAAAATATGCCCACTTGCTTTTAAGTGTGAGCTAAAATGAGTTTCTTCCTCTGTCCTGTCTCATCCCAAGAACTGTAAGGATTTTAAAATGAGACAAATCCTGTTATATTAAAACGCCAGTTTGTCAAGATTTCTGTGTCTCAGTCCACGGCCCACATATTTTGGGAGGATTTTATAACACAAAACTTCTAGTTCAGTAAAGCACTTCCTCACTTTTTAGCTTGATCATTTGGCATGTGGATGGGGTTGGACAGGTATCTGAAAACATGTAGATAATGCCAATTTTAATGTTAGCCAGCCATTAGAAACAGCTCTTCATAACCTTTTTTTTTTAAACTATAGTTACTGACAATCAGTAGAATTTTTTTTCCCTCTCCATCTGATGCATTTATTAGTACATAATAAAATAATAAAATGACCCCAAATCTAAAGGCAGAGAGCTCCTCGTGATGCCACACGGCTCCCTCTGACACTCTTAAATAATTGCATAGCAGGACGCCATCAGGGACGATTTCGTACACGCGCCGGGGCTCAGGTGAACCTCCATCGGCCCCTCATGTGACAGTCACCAGGCCTGTCCCAAATCATTGAGAGGAATGCAGATCATAGGATGGAGATGGTCAGGCTTTGAGATATGTTAGCTTTTCCCCTCGTTGTTGCTTCACAAGTTAGAATAAAGCCTTGTTGCTTTTTTTTGCTGATAAACTCTTGGATTTTGTTTTCCTCTTGATGTATTTTATCATGTTACACACACGAATCATCATCTCCATCCCCACCCCACCTCTGTTCCCGTCATCCCGGTGGGCAGGAGCCACTTCACCGCTCCCCAATTCACAGCCCACTTAGATCCAGATTTTGTTCTGGAATTTTAAAATCAGTTTATGTCACGGATATCTGTGACGTCCCCCTGCCCAGCATCCACACGCACACACGCCCTTCTAGAACTTGATGATCTGTGTGGTGGTGGAGTACCCATTGTATCATAAATACCTTTATTGCAACTTAAAGGTGGTCCTTTCAGCTGACATCTTTTTAGTGGTGCCGGCTAAGAAGGCAGCACCTCAAAACTAACTCAGGTGACAAAATCCCGTCTGTGCTGGATGGATCGTGTTCCAGTTTGGAAGCGTCATCCAGGCACTAGTAGTGTTCGGAGCCTGCTGGTTCCGTAGCTTCCGTGGCAGACTCTGTCCGTGTGGGCGCAGGAAGAGAACACGGAGAGACTGCTTCAGGCCGGGGCTGCATCCTGGGAGGGTGCGAGGTGCCAAGCAATGGCACTTGGGGGAAGGCTGGATATCAGCACAGCTTCGAGGTCAGTAGCTCTCAAGCATGTTAACGCACAACATACCCACAAGGGTAGGCCTTAGTGAGTGGTCTCCAGCTGAAATATTGCCCACCGGAGCCAGGATTCTCACGACTCAGAGTAACCTCTCTGTCCTCCAGACCTGCATCAGCCGGGGTGATAGCTCCTGGTTTCATGTGGTTCCTTGAGCATCTGAAATGGGGCTCGTCCAAACTGAGAGGTGCTGCAAGTGTAAAATACACACCAGGGTTCAAAGACTTAGTCTAACTTTTTTTTTAAGTTTCTCTCTTTTTATATTGATTCCCTGTCGAAATGAAATTGGATATATTTGGTGAAATAAGATATATTATTAAAATTAACTTCACCTGTTCCCTTTTATTTGCTTTTAACACAGCTTCTAGAAAAATTTAAAATAACGTTATGTGGCTCACATTGTATTTTTATTGGACCTACGCCGTCCACGACCCACAGAAGGAGCCTATTGTCCTCCAGAGTTCTTTCCCCGGCTCCCTGGCTCTGGGCCGTTAGCTTCAGCAGTGAGGCTCTGGGGCGCAGGCCTGTTCTGTGGGGGTGTCTCCCTCTGCCCGGCCCAAGGTGAGCTGCTCAGTGCCCACTGTATGTACCTTGAGGCTCAATAGATGCTCAAGCTCTTCCTGGCCTCTCAGCAGCTGAAAATGTGCCCCTCCCGCCGCGTCATCCGTTAGTGACCGCCCACCCCATTTCCAGTGGAGAAAAAGATGTTTTTGCTCAGAGGAGGGCCCCCTCGGATTCCGCACCCAGGAGGCTGACTGAGCACAGAAATGCTGCTCTCGGTGGTCGGTATCCTGTGTCATCACACTGGGTGTGGCCAAGTGTAAAAGATCAGAAGGCAGCAGACCCGCCTGAGCCCCCCTTGCTTTTAGCCACGTGGGCACTTGGTGCAGCAAATCATGTTGGAGGTGGAGCAGGCTGCTTTTCCTACATGCAGGCACTGTGTCCTATCTGGTTTCTAACGTCTGACTCTGCGCCCTAAGCACGGTCGTCGTCGTCACGGTTATAGTATGGATCGTAACCGGATTGGGGCTGAGTTGAGACGGTGGGGGGAGGCGTGGGAAAACATTCAGCCGCTAGAGAAATTGGGATCTATACGGTCTTCGTCATGTACAGTGGTCCAGACAGATTTGAGCAGAGATTGTTTTGCAGTAGTGTTTATAACTGTCAAATTCTACCAATCCTTCCGAATTTCGTAAGTGTTTTTTCTTAAACAGTTAGGACACCTTTGTGCTGCTGTGGCAGGAAATTCTGACTAGAGGAGGCACACAAGTGAGCTCGAGGTTGACTGGGTCCCAGAGATCTGAGTCCCCAGGGGGTCAGATTCAGCATCACCCAGCTGTAGCCCTCATGGCAGCCCCGGACCATTGTCCTTGTGTATGGTGTCCCATTTGGAAACCCCACCGCTCACTTGGGCCCAGGTTGGGATTTTCCAGTGTGGGCTGTGGAATGGGTCAGCGCGATGGCCCAGGCCCATACACCCGGGTGTGTGGGAAGGCCTAGAAGAGGGTGCTACCAATCATGTGTCCATCCTGGGGCCTGTCTGCTGGCTGGTGGCAGTCAGGGACAGCAGGCCTCTCGTTGCCAGCCAAGTGGTCAGGATTTCAGGGTCCTCAAGCCTTTCAGGGACAGCATTTGATCACAGAGATGCTTTTTTTTTTTTTTTTTTAAGATTTTACTTATTTATTTGAGAGAGAGAGTGAGAGAGAAAGAACATGAGTGGGGATGGGGGGAGAGGAGATCAGGGAGCCCAATGTGGGGCTCGATCCTGGGACTCCAGAATCATGACCTGAGCCGAAGGCAGATGCTTAACCAACTGAGCCACCCGGGTGCCCCACAAAGATGCATTTTTTTTCCATTTATATGAAATTTTTTTTTAAAGATTTTTATTTATTTATTGAGAGAGAGAATGATAGAGAAAGAGCATGAGAGGGAGGAGGGTCAGAGGGAGAAGCAGACTCCCTGCCGAGCAGGGAGCCCGATGCGGGACTCGATCCCGGGACTCCAGGATCATGACCTG